AGAAATATGACAACGCTGCCACTGATGATCTTCTGAGCATAGCATCTCTTGTTGATCCTCGTTTTAAGAAACGCTACATCAAAGATGACAAGGTTGAGACTGAAATCCAGAGCCGTGGCTCAGATGCTGGATGAATGTCAGAGCACATCGCAAGCTACTCCTGCATTCACATCTACTGCACTGGGAGGAGGCAAAGGTGATGGTGCTGCTGCTACACCAGTCAAATTGCAGAAGAAGACACTGGGCAGCTTTTTCAAGAAGTCCTACACTAAGTCTGCTGCAACATCTGATCTCACAGAACAGCAGGCTATTGAAGCTGAACTAAACAGCTACCTGCAAGCTCCTGATGCAGACAGCGAGACCAACCCCCTGGCATGGTGGAAGATTAATTCAGCAACATACCCCAGAGTGAGCCTCCTGGCAAAACGTTACCTGTGTATTCCTGCCACCAGCTCACCCTCAGAGCGTGCTTTTAGCACAGGTGGTAATATAGTGTCCTGCAACAGGGCAGCTTTAAAGCCAGACACAATGCAAACAAAGCCAAAACCTAGATATTTTAGGCAATATAGAAATCCTGGCCAGGACGTGTCCTGGGAAAATGTCACGTATGGCCACCCTACTGTATAGTAGCTCTAAAGTAAGAGCTCTGTGGAAGACAACAGTGTTGTTATTCAGCTCAAGTCAGTTCAATGTTCAAACCTATTGTAGGTTTATCTTATCTCGTAGAAGAGGCAGAATTCCACATCCAGAGATAGATTTGCATAGACTTTAATTTTTAATGCATGAATTTTAGTATTTAAAACGCCTGTATTTGCAGGGCTACATGTTAGGAAACACCGATGTGTATCTGGCCAAACAGGCTTTCATCAGGGTGCCAAACAGTAGCAAACAAGAAGAGGTTAAATGGATCCACCTACATTTAGCACCTCTAATCACTAGATGTCTCTTAGGAGTAAAAAGTATTATAATAATATATAATGTGAACAAAAAGGGTATAGTGTAGAGGTCGACCAATAGTGGATTTTGCCAATACCGATAGCTAGGTTGGACCACACTGGCCGATACCGATTGTTTTAAAATTGATACTGAACAAAAACTAAAATCGTGCTTTAACAAAACCAGTACTGAACCATACTAGTAGTAGTAGTAAAAATAATAGTAATAGTAAATGTTGAAATTAACACACTCTAACAAGGAACAATTCTTACACAGCCTTCATTAATCTTAATGCTACAAATGGACTCTTATTTTAAAGTGTTTCCATTTTATTTCAACTGTCATGCTTAAAGATGCACATCTTTAAATATA